TACTACATTAAATCTATATTATGTTTAATATAATGCTTATCGAATATAGTAATAATTATTAATAATTTTTTTATAAATTATCAATAAATATATAATCATATATTTTTCACATTTTGAATAATATTGAAAACTTTATGAAATGAAAAAGGTTGCAATTTTTGGAATTTTCCCGTTTATCATTTACAAAAACTATATAAAAATTGAATTTTTAAAAAATTATCATAAACATATTTTATCGACATTTTTAATCATATAATTTTTATTTAATTTCCGTTTCAAAATATAATTTAAAAATAATTATAAAAAATATATTTTTTTAATTACATCTTCAGTCAATAAGATAAATATTATATTTATGTTTTGTTATTGTGGTTAAAATTATAATATAATTAATAATTTATGGTTATTTACTTATTTCTTTTCCAAAAAATAAGCCATAAGTTAAAAAAGGAAGAAAATTGATTTTGGTAATAATTTATTATTTTTGCTTCTTTAAATAATAATAATTCAAAACACTTGATTAACATTTGAAATAACAGGTAAATATTACGAAGAGCCACACCTATTCAGTGTTTTGCTTATAAAATTTTATAGTAAAACGAATTCACTAAAAGACAAATAAGTGAATATAATTTATTAAAAAACAAAAAACAAAAATAATACCAATAATTTGGCATATATAGATCCAAAACATTCAGAAAGAAAAATTGAAAATTACATAATTATTAAAAAGGTTATAATAACTACTGTTAAACTGAAAAATTAGTCATTACATTAATGTCTTGAATTGTTTTATTCTAAAATAATTTGCATTACCGATCAAGTGGTTAATAAAATGGTTTTTATTAAAACTATGATTCGGTTATTTAGTTATTTTTGCCCAAACTTTTATTGTAAAAAACATTAAAAAAGTTTTAATATAGAAATTTGTGAATCAATTTTATAAACAAAACGAACTAATAATTAAAAACAAATAATATTAAAATTCTTTCATATTTGAATTTTAATATTTTTATATACATGAAGAAACACTCATTACTACCATAAAAATATAATTTAGATCAATATTAAAAAAATCATAAATATTCAGGGATGCAAACCTCAATTAAATAATCGTTTTTTGAAAAAGAAATAATGGCATTTTATCTTTTTGGTTAAAATAAAAAATCATATTTACAAAAGAAATTTTTTGTTCAATTAAATGAAAATAATCATAAAAATTAAAAAAAATGCTGTTTTGGGAACGTTTTTGAATAATATGCTCAAAACTGCACTTTATTCGGTCCTTCAAAAAACAAGACCAAAAGTGTTTTGAAAAACAAATAATAATTGAAAAAAACAAATAAGAAAAATTTAATTATTTAAACCAAAAACTAAAGAAAAATAAAACAAATAAGTTTCCGATAAAAATTTTTATTGAATGGCATAAATAAATAATAGGAAAATGTCATTGGATTAAAGTAAAATAAAATTGTTGTTCATCTTATTATTGGAAACAATGTTTGTTGTAATTTATCAGTATTATTAGTAAGAAATGTGTTAATACGATAATCAATTCAGATAAAGCAATAATTTAATATTTTTTTATAAAGAATATAACTCTGGTATCAGAAGTGTTTCAAATATAAGATTTTTTTAAAATTAAAAGATATAATAACCATATAATTTACAAATTAAAAAATAATATAGAAACTAATAATAAAAATAACAAAACTATTAATTAAATGTGTTTATAGGATTTGTATGAAATCAGAAAAAATCGACATCTTATTTGTTAATATTATCAATAAACTAAACTCATCATATATGTTCATAGATAACAGATTTAATTTGAATGTAATATATATAAAAATTTTTGGTTATATATTAAAACATATCTACATATTCATTAATATTAAAATAATAAGTAGTTATAACAACTGAAAAAATATATTAATGTGTCTAGCAAAAAAATAACAAACAATACTTTCATAACAAGAAAATTATGATAAGAATTTTATATTTTAAAAATTAACAGAAAAATGTGATTTTATAGATTATATTACATTTCCAATTATATAAACAAATATAATATGTATTTAAATAAGCTTATAAAAATGAAAGAATTGTATAAAAACGAAGTTTGGTTTAAATATTTTTATTTTTTTAAATGCATTAATTGGTTAATAAATTTAAATTTTTTAAAAACAAAACAGTTGTGAAAAAAACCAAAAGATACAATTTTTTAATAATATTATTTTTAATAATCAAAATTTTAAAATTTATTAATTTTTTTTTATTTTTTTTAAAGACAATACAAACTGAATCAATATGATGCTCTTGCTCTTCTATAATTCAAGTATATTCTTTTGTGGATATGATTCATTTTGACTTTATGCGTTTCACAGTACACTAACAAAACTACTGCCCTGTTTCTTCCATGGGTATAACAGTCATACCTCTGATTGATTCATTTCAATCCCCTTTTTTCTGTGTTAACAAGAAAAGATATCTTTCGTCGCTACTGTCATACCCCATACCAAAGTTTATCCCCTGTTACCACTTTTCAGTCTTTTTTTCATGACTTTTTAACTATTGATAAAGAACTTTTAATTTTTTTACCTTTCATGCGTAAACGCTTTTTAAGCTCAGTTTCTTCTTCTAAATATACATCCATCTTTTAGGATCGATTCACCCTATTCCAATTAATGTTGTCTAGGAACCTCTTTCCTCTTCAGTCCTTATATAATTTTTTCCTCTTCTAAGTATTTGCTACTTCCACCAAGATCTGTTCTCAAATCTGTTT